ATACTTCGGGCATGTTGCAAGGAGGGACCAGTCCTTGGAGTGGGTCACCATGCTTGGGAGGGTGGAGAGACTGAGAAAGAGAGGAAGACCCTCAATGAAGTGGATTGATTCAACAACTGGGGCAATGAAGGCAGGTGTGTCAGAGACAATACGTTGGCACAGGATAGAGCAGGTTTCAGGGCTACTGTACATGAGGTTGCTATGAGTCACAAGCGACTTGATGTCACATGACAGCAACAACAACAATATATAGTGATAGAACGAAAGAAAAAAGAGGACAGTCAAATAATATCTGTGGGAAGTACGGAAACTTCAAAACATTACAGGGTATCTAAAAATATATTTCAGCTTAAGTGGATATTTAAAAATCACAGTATAACAAGTCTTCTTTTAAATGGGATAATTATAATGCGTTGTGTTCTAAAGTGCATAAAGAAGACAGCCATTCTACTGGCAGTCCAAAAGACTGACAACAGTTACCTAAGATTGGGGATCCCCCATCGTAGGCAGGAGGCTCCCAGTTCATGATGCACCAGTCATCCCCCACTTCTGTCACATTAGGTGCTACTGGAGGATCAGGGATGTCTGTGGCAAACAAACAAACAAACAAACAAACATAAGAGAAAACAAATAGTAATAATCATAGAGTATTTTTCTATGTCTTCTAAAATTCAACGATAATGATTTGTGTAAAAAAGCCCTCTTACCATGGGATAAGAAAAAGGATGCCCAAGAAAAAGAAGCCCCTAAAACTAGTGTTTCAACACTGGAGAACAGGCTCCAAGGGGAAACCAAGATTCTTGGTTGTTTCTCAGAATAAAAATTACTGTCAAGTGTGATATTTTTGGAGTGTAGTATATATTGTATGTAGTATATATTTTTCCTTTTAACTACACAGCAGAAATGTGTGAAGGAATTCAGTCCAGGAATCAGGGAAACACCTTTCCTATCAGTTGGAAGATTTAAGGTTTTGACTGGTGAAAATCAAGCTAAAAATGGCAAGTTACCATGTCTTGTAAACATAATCCAGTATCTGATACAGTAGTAACCTTTGTAACTTTAGTAACCTTTGTAAAGAATGTCAGCTTAAAATATGACTCTTAAGAAAATATTAAAATGAGAAGAGATCATGAGACGTGGGAACACTGACAGTCTCGATTTCACTTGGTTTCAGGCTTAGAAAAAATAAACACTGAGATAGATAACTAGAGCTCAAGGCACATTTACTCCTCTCTGGTGATTTTCATTTAGAAATTATATGGGGCAACGTTTAAGGAAGATGAACTCTGGTGACCTAGTGAGAAATGAGTTGTGCTGCCAACCCAAATCCACCAGATGCTCTGAAGTTCAAATCCACCAGATGCTCTGAAGAAGAAAGATAGGCAATCGCCTCTTGTGCTACTTAGAACCTTGAAAATCCACTAGAGGGTCAACCATGAGTCAGTTCCCACTGGACAGCAATGAGTGAATGTTTAAAAAAAAAAAACCAGAAAGGAATATGTCTGTGGAAATACAATGATGAACAACCCTAAATGGCTAAGTTCAACTACTCATTCAATGCAATGAGGAGCTTTCTAGAAGGTAGGGAGAGGAGGAGAAATGAAGAGAGGATAAAAGGCAGGGGTGGGGGAAATAGTATAGAAAGACTATGAACTGTATGCACTCTTGTTCATATCATACACTGCTTTTCTTCTACTTTTATCCTAGCAAAGTTGACAGAACCAATAACCAGCAAAGTCTACTGTGGATCTTGACGTGTCAACTGCTGCTAAAAGCTTTTTCTCCCAAGATCTTACCCACAACTTTAATCTTGATGCTTGCATGGGCTTCTCCAGCTTCATTTTTCAGATTTATATTGTAAACACCAGAGTCTTCCCTTTCAGCTACATCAATGACCAGAGTGCTGCTGTCAGGGTAAGATTCTGCCCTTATCCGACCACTGCCCTCCATGATGGCCTAAGAAGGAAAGAAATAAGACGGCATGATCTACACAGCAGCACAGGTTACTCTAGTGACTTGGAATACAAGCTACACATGGTGGGAATTAAATAAGGTTTGCCTTTGGGAATTTCTCCACAAGTTGTTCAATGACATTAGTTACCTTTTCCACGATATGTCAACAGTTTCATTAATTACATTCTGGTTGTTCTGTTTCTAGTACTCTAGTCTCCCTGCTCTACCCCCTTGTCTTTTTATCTTCGCTTTGGAGAAACTGCTTACCTTCTAGTTTCACATAGATTTATGTTAATGGAACTCTACACATGGGTAATATCCTATTTTTAGGAGGAGACTTTTTTTTGTTGTGTTTTTTTCTCTCTGTAAACTAACGCCTTAAATAGAGAATCAGGAACTTAGTGGCACCCAGGAATTCCCCGCCCCCCCATCCTAACTCCCTTTCTAATCATTCTTTTCTATTACTCTTGCTCCCTGATTTAGATATCTCTTTCAGACATTTTTAGTAGAGCGCCTCACCACCATTTCCTGAGCAACTGCCCAAGAACATATGAAAATCCAGTTTCCAATTCTTATCACTTTTATGATGTATGTCTTTGGGCACATTAAACCTCAGTTTCCTAATTTATATAATGGGATAATAATGTATTCATCACTGAGGTTGGTGGAGAATCAAACTGAGAGAAGGTGGTTAGGTATTCACTTCTGCTATATAGCCTGAAAACTCTAGTTGCCATGATCTTCCTTGAAACAGGAAGTCCTAAGTTCAGGGACTATCTACCTGGATTCCCTATCCCTGTTCCACTGTCTAGTTGCCCTGTACAGGTGTCTGTTGTGTGAGTCGATCCTAACTCATAGTAACCCTAGTAGGACAGAGTAGAACTGCCCCCATAGCATTTCCTACACTGTTATGTTTACGTGAGCTGGTTGTCAGGCCTTCTGTCTCATGGTGGGTTCCAACCACTAACCTTTTGGTGAACAGCAAACTGCCTGACCATGGAGCCTGCTTAACCACGGAAGCTGGATTCATCGGAGGGCTCACTTCAGTAGATGCCTACCTTTCAGGCGTCATTGTCTTTCACTGCCCATTTCTGACATCTTGAAAATCATGAATTCAAATGGTTCATTTTTATTTTGTTTGTTTGTTTTGGGGGATATTATTTCAGGTGAGTAAATGCAGACCCTGCTAATCCATCCTAAGCAGGCACGGACATCTCATGCTCCGCTTTTAAAAGTCCACCACTTTATGCAGGAAGTCACGGGATCACATTCAGTCGGGCGCCACCCCACCATTCTGACCTTATGCAATTTTCCTCTCCTCACCCATGGTGGCTTGGTTTCTATTTCTCACGTGCACCAAGATCTTTCTTTTTCCGTGGCTTTTGTCCTTGCACTGCAAATTAATGCTTCATTTCCATCTTCACACAATGGATTCCTTCTTATTCTTTATAGTGGCTGTCGCTTACTATCACATCACTTGGTTTTGCTTTCCTCTTAGCACTTACTACATCTGATGTGGTTTTATTAGTGCAATTACTTCCTAATTCATTGTTTACCTCTATTTTACCCTACTCTTTGTTTTTACTATATTGGTTTGCTTACAAAGTTTGCATACATTGTGTTTCATACTATTCTTCATTCACAATGTGTTTTCATACAATCATTCTCATGTATTATGTTTTAGAAAATGAATCTTTTACCCTACCCTTGACACCTACATTCACTGTACCTAAAAATGTGCTTGATACATAAGTGGTAGTTTAAAATAAGGAAAAGGAAATGAATGGTTACTAGATTTTCCTGAAAAATCAGTGACCCTGCTTTCTCAAATGAATGAAGTAATGCACTCCTAGAATCTGTTTTGCTCTTTCCGTTCATCAGAGGACAGGGGTTAGATCAAACCTTGTCTGCTCGGCTCCAGATGGCTTTCGGAGGTGGTTCTCCGGTGACGGGAATCTCAAGGCGCAACTTGCTCCCTGCAATTACTGTCACTGTATTATCAGCATCGAGCCCGTCCAAGATGATCTTAGGAGGGTCTGCAATATTAAACACAGTCTTTGTTATCAGACAGTATCCTTATTGTGACTATCTAAGTTACTGCTTGGTGACTATTAAATGCTGGTAGGAATTAACTGGTAATTTTTTTTCTTCTTCTTGAAATAGCACATAGTTTTGAATATTCTAAGGTAAGTGAAAGTACAACTCTGAAGTGATTTCTTTTATTTACTCACCAATAACATGAACTTTGGCAGGCAAAGTAACGCTGTAGGCATCTGGTGCGAAAACATAATCACCTTCATCCTCAACGAGAGCATTGGCTATCACTAACTTGTGAATTCTAAAGAAAAGAGAAAAATACTTGTAAGACTTTGTGAAAATTTAGCTTGCATATTTTAAGCCAACATGAGGCGGTATTAGACCTTCATTTGATTAATTTATTTAGTTCAGTCTGGCAAAAGAGAGACAGAGGGAAGAGAAATGGAGAAAATAAAGAAAGGGAAAAGAATGAGTGTGAAGAGTGAATCATCACATACGTATCTCCACATGAAATCTTGTATTTCGGATTATATAGAATTATTTCTGTAAAAGGAGCTTGTTTATGTCTTATATATTCAAGAGTATGCTATTCCTTCCTTTTCATATCTTAAAACACATTGACTGATACTTTCTTCTTTTATTAAGGATGTTGTTGTTGTTGTTATGTGCCGTCGAGTCACCTGCAACTCATAGTGACCCTATGTACAACAGCCCTAAACTCCGCTCTGTCCTGTGCCAATCGTACTGTCTCTGACACTCCCATCCCAATTATCTCAATCACTGAATCAATCCACCTCATAGAGGGCCTTCCTCTCCTGTGCTGTCCCTCCACCCTCCCAAGTATGATGTCCCTCTCCAAGGACCGGTCTCTCCTCAC